CGGAGATTAGTTGTACAGATAGCAACAGCAGCTTTTAATGCTGAGGCTTTTAAAGAATATTTATTTTACACAAATATTAATTACAATGTTACCTTGTTAAGTATTTTAATGTATTATTATAATTAAACATGCATCTTATTATTATCTACAATATATTTATATAAATAAGAGAAGCTTTATATATTACAAGTAAATAAAAAATTTAAATAAATATTCCAACTATAATTTCAACTTTCTTAATTTATTAAGCATCGAACTTTTGCTGACCGTACGTCCCCAGCGTTCTCATCTCCCTCCGGCTACGCACACAACTGGGTTCCCACTGCACACAGATTCTCCTCCCCAACACACACATAAGCAATCGAGTCCGTATTCCAACTATGACTCTGTGTCGAGAATTTACATTGGAATCCATACTTCAGAAACACTGTGTTCATACAGGTGTACCGCGTAATGTCACTATTGTTTCACACATTAAAAATTAGTATATCGACTCAGAGGCTGTCTCTTTCTATCCGTATGTAATTAGTGATAGAGTTATTTGGTCGTCTCGCTCTGTAGTTCTAAGTTTAAACACAATTTTCTCCGTCAAAAGTTGCATGTTTGTGGATGCGATGAACTGCTTTTAATATGATTTTTTTTAAATCGGCTTTAGTCAATTACTATAAAGTCTTCCTGTTTTTTTTTATTGTGTGTTTTTATATTAATGTTTTTTTTTATTATAATATTATACAAATTTGCTAAATCTCCCGTATCCATTTCTTATTTGGAAAGTGCTATACACCTATTTTACCTTACGGACCTACCTTGCTTAATATTTCAGTGATGTTATTTCATACTCCGACGATTTAATGATTTTAAACCGTATTCCGATTACAGTAAGTCATTTTTCCTTTGGAACAGATCCCGAAAATAACATAGTAACTTTCTGGCTGCTTGAATATTTTATAAATGTTAAAGTTACATATTTTATCCGCAAGGTGGCGCCTCACATGGAGTAATTTTGTTTTAATTCAAGCACACGATATAATTTTAATTATTCCCTAATAAGTAAAAAAATAAAAATAGAACGCGACATGAGAAAAAGTTGGAAAAAATATTAAATATTTTGTTTCTATTTCTGCTACTCGTCAACAGATGGCGCTGCGTCGGTCCCCGTAAAATTTCCAAAATAAAATGTTGAAAATGTTAATTTTTTGAGAATAAGTGTACAATATTTACAGTAAGTTTTTGAGACCATAATAATTAAAACATTTCGCCGTTCCTTTCGTTATCTTTAACAAACCGAGAAAATATGTTTTAAAGGGCATGTTGGTCTCAGAAACCCACTATTAGTATAACAAATACAGATTTGAATTGCAATAGTTTTACCAAAATGCAACAAAAACTTCGATGACGGCGTTAATTTTGACGAAGTAGATACGATCTTTCCTAATTATTATTTTTGAGTTTATATTTTCAGATTAAAATCACAGCATCTTAAATCTCTCCGATCTCATATCATCATAACAACATTAAAATTAGCTTAAAATTTTCAAGTATTTAGCTAAGTTTAAAATACGTCTGAAATTTAAATTATTCTAGTTAAGTTCTATTACAATCAATATAGATTGAATTTATCGTAGTATTGGAAACTCCAACTTAAAAAATTCCTTTCTGCTTACAAATTAATATTTCCTTATCAACTTATACGGATACATTACCGTCGGCGCAGTTTACGTAATTCCAGCTCCACCTGGCGGGGTTATTAAAAAACTTGCGAGTGCGGAATGCGTTTTAAAAAAGCAATTAACGTACACTCGCATTTCTCAGTTCATATACGTCTGCTGTATGTAAAAAAACACGAAAGCCGTGCGTTTTGTAAAAAAACATACGAAAGGAAACGTGAAGCATTGTTTCGAATACAACTCGCGTTTTAAAAACTATTTTCAATCCTATACGAATGATCGGTTTCTCGATGTTACGAATGTTGATATTTTTTAATGTTGGTAAATGATTACGTTTAATTTTGGATATTTTAGTTGTATCTATTTAGAGTAAATAATTATGATATAATTTTTCGACCATAATATCAATTCCTCTATTTTGTATAATTTGAGTTTCCACTCTAAAATATCTGCAGTTGAAATTTAAAACTATATCCAAGGCTAGTTATCGCCCGTGATTTTGTCCGTGCTTAATTTAAAATAAAAACTTACTGGCACATGTGTTTTTAAATTTCAGCGAGATCCATGCAGTCGTTCTGAAGAAACCTCATACACATCCATTCATCTAACCATTCGTATTTATAATATTAATAAGATTATCAAATGATATAAAAACTACGACAGGTTAAAGCAATCATAAGTCACCATGTTTTAAACATTTATATTTCTCACTGTTCATATCATTAAAAAGTATTTAAAAAAAAACTATTTTTCGCTTCACAATTTGAATACAATTTCTAATAAATATGCGTTCAGAATATCGTATAAAGTTATGAAGATCACCATCGTTAGTTAGAGTCTACAAAACTTTTTCCAGCGCAGTCAGAACTTCCGTTGAAATGTACAATAAAAAAAATATACGCTCTCGCCGTCTATGGAAAATTATTAACAACTGTACGTAGCATATATTGTACATTGTACGTTGTATTGTGTTCGCGTGCATTTTCGCTTATCGTTCGCGTCTACTCGGACTTCGTTAATGAACATTTTTGCGAATACCGAGACGTACAGGGGGAAGAAAGTTGGGATTTTTAATTTTATTATTCAAGAAAATGTTAGCGTAATTATTCAAAATTATTTCCTATTATACGTAATTTTATTATTATATTACATGCCAAATTTTTGATAAAACCAAAGGTTATTTGATTTATTATTGGTTTTTAAGACCAAAATTATGTACAAAACATATTATTATCTCTGTTTTGTAAATCATAATTAGAGAAATGACGATATTTTTTGTATATTACCTGTGCTACCTAAATTCGTAGCATGTCTACAATGGCTACGTTAATCGTAGCCATTGTTGACATGAATGTCTACAACATCTACGTAGCTATCGCTACGTTATAACACAACGAATTTAAAAACACACTTGAGCAATAGATGTAAACTATATTATATTAAATAAAGGGAATTCTCTTTGTATGCAAACAATATCTATTGTTCTTTGTAGTTTCTAATATCCACCTTGTTGTAAGTAAAAGATAAGAAAAAGGTATCTCTTTTGCTTTTACAAATTACAAAGAAGTTTAATTTAGTACTTTGTATTGTTTAGAAATGTTTCCTCCGGGTGTACACTAATGAAGTGCTACCAGCAATTTGTCCGTCCGTCGGTCTGTCTGTACACGAAATCTGTTGCAACTCTCCGCTAAATGACTCGCGAACAATTTCATTATTACTGTTAATGTTTGACTCGTGTGGATTTGTTATAATTTATTAGTTTTTATTTTTAAATCATGTTATAAATATAATATTTACGAATATTTATAAGAGGTGTATCGAGTAATAGTATCCATTGCACTTAACCGACGGGCGTCATAGTTTTGCGTAAAATTATTCCTCTCAAAGTTAACAAGCCTTTATCAAAGGATATAAATGTAAGAACACATTATTTACTTATTTGTCCAAAAACTATTAATATAATTCTATAATTTGTACACATAATCATCGATATGTATCTATAACTTAACTAGCTGTCGCCCGCGACTCCGTTCGCGCAAAATTAAAGAAAAACTTAATTAGTAGCCCATGTGTTCTTACAGGCGATGTTCTACATCTATGTCAAAATACAACGAGATCATCCATCCATCTAAACTTTTGCATTTATAATATTAGTAAGATAAAGAAAATATTAAATAACGTCACTTCTTGTTAAAAAATTACTCTTAATTTACGACGTCATTCCAAAATAGGAGAATGCCCTAAGGATCGTTCCGACTCCAGTTCAGTTTGTGAGATGCCTGATTTAGTATTTAACGAATTCGGCCGCGAGTATTTGAAATATCCAGTTAAATATTTAGTTGAATATTCAGTTGAATACTGAATACTTCGCGACGTTGAATATCAAATCGATAAGATCTTGCAACGTTGAATACAATAGAAAAATATTGAAAGAAATTGAAATACATCTCAGCAAGTCTTAGATTAAACGTTTTAAAAAGAAGACGGCATTGTGCAGTCTTGTAGAAACTAGAGATTGTATTTTTTACCTTTAGGATTATATTATACTGATAGGACATAAGTCTTATTCTTTTATATTATTTTTGTAGTTGTTCAATTAATTCACATAAATTGTTTATTGTTTTTGTTTCATTCTTATTAATTTCTTTTTGTATTGGCAACATTCAAATTATTATAAACTTTTTTCCTATGCTGGCAATAATGGTGCATTAGAGATTCATTGGATATAAGTGTGCTACAAGAACGCGGGCTATTTTTCTTATTTTCATTACTTAAGTAACTATTCAATAAATAGTTAAAAAACCACACGACCACTTGTTTAACTATACAGTAGTTTCTAAATACTAATTTATAATGGTTTTCTATTATTCATAACTAAAATAAAGTGTACAGACTCCTTTTTTTTAATATAAGACGGCAAACTAGCAGTCGACCATTTAAAGAAAGAGCAAAGCAATCTGATATCTACAATTGCAGATTCATTACCTTTAATCGACGAAGGAGTGGACGCATAGAAAAAGAAAATGCGTCTTATGCGTCTACTATTCCGTTAAATCCACTTTTTATAAGGAAACGATGTGAGGAGGCGTAAAATTATGCAACCTGACAAGCACACTCATCTGACGAAATGCGGAGTGACAATGCACTTGACGCTTGTCTTCTGTGTGGCGGTGGTATTGCACCGATTGAGGTCTATTCGTACAACAGATGTTGGTGATTACGTTGTTAAAGCTAAAAATTAAAAACGATTAGTGTACTTATTTATTAAATTTTGATTTTGTTTTCAAATTATTCCAACATGTATATACGTTGATTAGAAATAAAACAAGTAAATTAAGATAGAGGTAAAGTCAATTTATAATTCCATACAACAAAAAGTATAACAGACCATGCGACGGTGTAAGTTAGGAATGCAAATATAATGCCAACACCAGTGAAGCTATCATCACTCTGCCTATCAGGAGAGTGATCGAAGCATTTGTTGTCGAAAAATGAACACAAGATGGCGTATCTAATACACAAATTAAACGCGACGATTAAATGAAATAGAATCGCGTAGAAATATACCATGACTAGCTTGTTATTATTATAAAAACAACCAAAGAAAAGGATAATATTTGCGATTAATATAAGCCACATGAAAGCAACGATAAACCAAAGCATTAGTGCTAAATTTATCTCATTGTTTATAAGTCTAGACATCTCGGAATGTTGATCTGAAAAAAAAAACAATCGGTTCTTATAAAAAAAAATCAAGTTCATTTGTTCAGTGTCTACACACATTTATAGACTAAAATATTAGGTATTTATATATTGATTTGGACTAAGGCCTGGAAAATTAAATCTCTAGCGCTAAAGATTCAAAACTGTATTTATATAAGATCAGATGTCGCCCCCAACTTCTTCTGTGGAATGAAAAAACCCTTAAAATTAGTCTAAGTGTCCACACCATGTTCTACATCTGTGCCAAATTTCGTGAAGGTTCGTTGAGCCGTTCCAGACATCCTTTATAACAAACATCCATCCATCTAGACTTTAATATTTATATTATTAGTAAGTTCTTAGTTCTTCCAGTTAGTTTTTATATGTAAAATGCCGCAGCATAGGCGTTTTTTATAATATCAAAATAGATTACTAAAAGGAAACAGTTGTAGAGTCTTCTAAACTAATTAAAATGAGATTTAAAGAGGCGCAGTGAAACTACAAGCGAATTTTTAATATTAATTTTAATGTTATAATACCTGTAAGATATACAACAGTTTGTAGGGGTCCAAATATAAAAGATACGAAGATCCCGACGCAAGCAATATACATGGACATTAAACGCCATGTCCAAAATTCACAGACACGCAGGCACATTGTGGTTAAAGAATTTTCAATACTGAATAATTACTCATAACATTTTTTTATACATTTTAATGATATATTTTTTGACGTTTTCTGTCAATTTTAATAAAAGTCTTTGGGTATAATCATAGACTATTTTTCAAAGAAGACCATAGAGTGTTTAAATAAATCTTTTTTGATCCACAAAATTTTGTAATTTCTTAGGACTGTGCCTCCTGTGGTAGGTGGGAACCTGTGTGACCGGAGATAGTGGTCTTAAATAGGTTCTAATTTATCCACAAGTGTGTGTTTGCGTTAAAAATTATTCGCGCATGTTCGCACGCACTTCTTACTAATATTATAAATGCGAATGTTTAGGTGGATGTTTGGTTGAATGTATCTCCTGAACATCTCAACGGATCTTGATGAAATTTGGCACAGATGTAGAACATAGTCTTCCAGACTGTGTGTACACATGGGCTACCTTGGAAGGTGTTTTTAATTCGGCGCGGACGGAATCGCTTGCGACAGCTAGTTTGTTATAATATAATGTTTCATATTATTTTTATCGTAATTTTTGCGATATATATACCAAAGTAATTTAATTAACTGCAAAAATATTAGATGAAATAAAAGTTAATAATCGATTAATTTATTGAATCAAAAATACTATATTGTGACTTAGTTGTAAGTCTGTTGCTTGAAGATAGTTATCGAAGCGCAAAAGATAGTTCTGAGATCCGGCAAATTGACTTGTCGTCTACAGCAGCCATATTTTTGGCTATCGGCCAACGAACTTTTGTGTCATATTTTTTTTAAATTTCTACAGACTTATTGTATCGAAGTTTTTCTCTGAATAAAAATGTCTCAATTACAAGTATAATACAAAATGCTCTCTCTCATTTTTTTTTAAACTCATCTTAAAATGATTACATAAAGATGCACTTCCAGTGAGTTTCTGAGACCAAAATCTCCGTTTAAAATATATTGTTAGCTCTGTTTTCTCAAAGATAATGACAGGGATGACGATATGTTTTATACATATATTTTGTTCCCAAAAACCAATGGTCAAAGAGTTAACTTAGAGAGTTTGGACAGTGCCAAAAACAAATCCATAATGTTGATTTATTTCTTTTTAGGGTTCCGTACCTCATGGGAAAAAATCGGAACTCTTATAGGATCACTTTGTTGTCCGTCCGTCTGTTAAGAACCTTTTTCTAAAAAACGCGTGAAGGTATCAAGCTGGAATTTATTTATTTAAGGTATTTCAATCTTCGTATCTCATGACTCCATATAACATACAAGGTGTTAAAATGGAGCGAGTTTGATTTCGCAATAATGTTTTATTATGTTGACCGTGTCCGGCCATAGACAAACAGAGGACACCTTGGCTTGTGACGTCGCTAGCGGCGTGTTTGTGAGGACGTACAGAAAATAAACAATGAAAATTCAATATTAACAAATACAACTCATTTTAAAATAATCTTACTTATATTATAAATGCGAATGTATCTCTTAGAACATATCTCCCGAACGACTGTATGGATCTAGATGAAATTTCGCATACATATAGAACATAGTCTGGAACAATAGGCTACTAATTATTTTGTTTTAATACCACGGAAATGGTGTCGCGAGCAGCTATCTATATAAAACTGATGCATGTACACGTTCCAAAACTAATCAACAACTTCCAAAATAATCAGATATCAGATATTGTTTCATACCCCGTATGGTATACAATGGTCTTCACCAGATATTTAATGAATCCAACGTATGTGTACTGAACACAACCAGATGTCAGTTATACAAGTGGTAAAGAGGGTTACGCTATCATGGATAGTCGACAATGGTGTCTGTGACAACAATGAGCAACTGGAAATTGAATTTTCAACGTTTTACTGGATGTTACGACCACGTAAATTACGGACTTGGTAAAATATATATGGTTATTTAATTAAATGATTAGATTATATTATTAATATTTATATAAATTTATGTTAAGTTAACTACCCGAAATTGTTATTAATTGCCTAATAATAAAGATAACATTTTTTACTGAATATGTTTTTTTATTAAATATAATTTAAAAAAAAAAAACTTTTGCAACGGAAGGCTATTCGAAAATAGCTGTACAAATATTATGTTTTATAGACAATTATATTTTACTAACCATTTATTTTGTACACTTTTTCCAACAATTGAATAATAGTATTTAATATAATCTAGTGGTTTCTGGAAACATCGAAATCATGATTACGACTTTAATATCATATTAGACAAGTTCAAAGTATCAGTAGTGAAGTGACAAGTTACGCGCAGGTTGAGTTTTGAAACAATAAACAAAACAAGTAATTCAAGTTGACGCGCGGCTCACTTCACTCAAACCTATTCAATTATTTCATTTAAAGCAAATCTATTTATAGTTCCAGGTAACTTTTAATACGCTGAATATTATATTGTGAAAACATTTAAATCAAGACTACCTTCCATTGTTTCTACTAGTATATTACCAGCCAGTACGAATATTTAGAAAAGATGGGAAGAAGATAAAAAGTTTTAATTTAAAAATTAATGAATCCCACCAATTTTACATGTATTACTTTTCAGGGAAGGATATAAATCAATTGACAATCTTATCTGTCGTGTCGATTATAGATTACACGATGTTCTTCGTTTATATATCCTTGATTGAAAATTAGCTATAGAATTTTCAATTCATTATTCCAGAACATGAAGATGTAGCTAAATAAAAGCGTGATATTAATTTCCGCATTGCCTGGCACTGGACGTCCGCACGCCTCAAACTGACCAGAGCGAGTGCGGTATCAGTTCGAAATTCAAATTTAACGTTCGACCGGAGATGCGACGACGGTGACATCCGGCTTGCGTTCCGTTTCACGGTTGCGCTTAGTTAGAATATTCTGTGCAAGTTACAGACTCAGTTGGTGTTTATATAAATTTAATATAACGTTATAAAGTATGCTTACTATACCGTAGTTTCCCAATGTCCTATAACATGTTTCTGTATAGATGTTTCGTTAGTGTAAACTCACAGTTTTAAATATAGAATACGTAGTTATTGTTGATTCGCCGGCAGCGAGGTGTAATGCAATTTTAGTCTCGTTAATATTTTACATTCAAGCACATTCCCGTGTGAAATATTCCGTCTGGAATTACATTGTACACGTATCCATTGTACGAAAACATCATGTTTGAAATTGCCGTATTAAAATACATTCCTAAAAGTGAATAGTTAAAACAAATCCGTAAAGTATGATAATATATAAAAAGGTTGGATGGATGAAATACTATTAATTACTACTAATAACACAGGCTTTAATTATTATTAAATTATAAGACACAAGGGCTAAAAAGTCATGAAATTATTACACATTTTAAACAATTTGTTTTGAAAATCTTGACGTATAACAATGGATACGTAGTGCTATTTTTTTGATAAGGCACGTCGCCGCCATCTTTGGTAATCGTTTCGCGCGAAAACTGCTGTCATCTGTCAGATCGACGGCTCGATTTGGCGCCGAAACATAACAAAGTTCTTGATTCATATTAATGTGAGGTTTGTGAGTATGAAATTCTCAAATTAAATAATAATATCTTTACCGTAATGTTTTAAAAAATAGAAATAGCTTTTAAATATTTTAATTAACCAATTTTTTCCATTGAAATATTATACTTATCCTGCTCATCGGAATTAAAAAAAAATCTTAAATAATATGTTCTTAAAGATTATGTTCTATATCTAGAACAAATATCAGCAAGATCCTTGTTGCCGTTCTGTATATACCTTCTAACAAACATCCACCAAACATTCGCATTTATATAACTAAGACAAGAGGGCAAACGAGCGGTAGGAATACTGTGGTTGTTAATCGACTAATTCAATCTAGAACCTAAAATCTAGCCATTATCATTATGTTTCTTCGTTTTTCAATGCTATTTTGGTTCTAATATCTTTAACCAAAAACAAAAGAAACACGCTAAGAGTACTCCGCAGATGAAAAATAAATTCCTTTATAAATATGCAAAGGATCGAATACATTTTTTGAAACAATGGTAATAGAAAATAATAAGCAAGATGAGTTCAACTGTAAAAATGCGCCCCCTATCGGAGGAATTAAAGTTAATAATTTGCATTCGAATTAAGAGTACTCCGAGATATAAAATATTTCTGTAGCGGCAAACAATTGGTATTTTATACAGATTTCCTTGAGATGGCAGAGTTTTGTTTGTCATAATATGGATATACCCATGAAAATACATTGACAAACTGAAGCAACATATTTTCCCTTCTTATTATGCATTTATTTCTTTTTATTTTCATTTCTATAGTCTTCCGAAGGCCGATAAGACTTTAGTGACCTGGCACTTGATGAACCTTTTGCTTTTTTTCTCCTTTACATAAAATAAATTTAAATAAAAGACGTTTAAATGAATGAAAAGTGCATTCTTAGCTAATGTTGTAAATTCTTAACTTTTTATTCAATTGGGAAACAGCTAATATTCTAAATAATTAATCTTGCAAGTGTATTTGTGATTAAGAGGCTTATTTTTAGTCCTGACTTTTAATGTAGCAAAACAGTTTTTTTTTAAATTTAATCTTATCCATGTTATTGCAACGTCAGATCACATTTGGCCCCGCGCAGTGAGCCGTGCCGGTTATTCAAATGAGCCAGCACACGCCGTCCGCCGGATAAAAACAAACAAACGCGTACAAGACCGTCGCCCGGATAAACGGGGAACACGGATAAACGTCGCCCGCCCGGATAAATGGCATACGCGTATATCCGAAGATGGTTACTTGTTGCTTTGTACAAAGCGTATTATAATTTTATTTGTTCAAACTAGAAATACCAATATTTTATTGTTACCTTTGGAGAAATTGGAGGCGAAAAATGGAGTTTCTGTTGGATATCGTTGCGATAGTCATATACTTTTTAAGTGAGTCAATTATTATTTTTTACTTCAAGATTTAATAACTAGGGATTTTCTCTGTTCTCTTTAGTTAATCTGTATTATAGATGCGTATACGTCCCCACTGTGGGACTCGGAGCCTACTCTAAGTCGGGGCAGACTAGGCTATTGTCAAACACGCTGGCCCATTGC